GGGACGAGACGGGACGAGACAAAACGGGACGGGACAAACGGGACAAAATGGTCGTCCCGTCCCATCCCATGTCCCGTTTAACATTGGCCCATCCCATTTAACTTGAAGCGGGACGGGACGGGACGTCCCGTCCCGTTGGACAGCCATATGTTTTACCCACAATTTAATGTGTTTTTTTCTGTTGTCAAAGATTTGAACAATAAAATTATGTTTTTTTTTGGTCAAAGATTTTAACAATAAAAATAGATAATAATTGGTCAGGTCATGTAGGCCATAGTACGTCGAGTTATTTATTTCGTTATTAAATTCCGTTATGAAGAATATGTTTTTATTAATATACCTCTACTGTGTAATAGCCTGCAAACTACACAAGGGATACAAATCACATAAGGCAAACCCCGTGCGATAGGCTCGACTCAGAATGCATTGAGGGGGGATCGACCCCAAATCATCTGTATGAATGACCGCCCTCCAAAATAATTGGACCATCCTCGAAGGGTTGTTAGTTTATATATTAAAATGTCGAATATTTCAGTTATACATAGGTTGGTTCAAGGGTTCTCATGTTGATCGTGAAAATTAGACAATGTTTGAGTTTATTAAAGATTAAACGCTTGAACTTGATTTAATTGATTACTAAACTAAAATAAAAAAGGTGAAATACATGCCAATTACTATAAAGTCTCGATCTTACAAGTTTTAAGTTTAATGTATTAACTATGTGAAAATTAATAGTAAAAACTAAATGCAAACATCAAACCACCGAAGAAATAATATTGTCTTTCAAAATTATATTATTATTATTATTATTTTTTTTTTTATTATTTTATTATTTTTTTATTTTTTTTTATATTAATGTTAGTTACCAACAACTTTTTACTATGACTAATTTAAGGGAAAATGCACAGTTAGTCACTAATTAGAGATACCTTTACTTTTTAGCCATTGTTTAGAATATATTTATTTTTTAGCTAGTGCTTAATAAATTTTTATCCATCCGGACGAAAATACCCTTGTGCTACACATGGGTGTTGTGCAAATATTAGGGACATGGTGTTCTTAACTTCATGAATATTGTGTAAATATTAAGGACACATTGTCATGTATTTGCATCTTTCGTTGTTACACTTTAGGACATCATGTCCTTAACTTCATATGTGCAGTGTAAATGGTAAGGACATGACGTCCTTAACTCCATGTGTGCAGTGTAAATATTAAGGACATAATGTCCTTAACTTGTATTTACACCTTTTGTTGTTAATTTTTAGGACCTCATGTCCTTAACTTCATATGTGCAGTGTAAATCTTAAAAACATAATGTCCTTAACTTTATGAGTATTGTGTAAATATTAATGACATGGTGTCCTTAACTTCATGAATGATGTGTAAATATTAAGGACAAAGTGTCCTGTATTTGCACCTTCCGTTGTTAAACTTTAGGACATCGTGTCCTTAACTTCATATGTGCAATGTAAATATTGAGGACACGACGTCCTTAACTTCATGTGTGTAGTGTAAATGTTAAGGACACCATGTCCTTAATATTTACATAGCACTTATGAATAAAGGGTAAAAACATCTTTTCGTATTAATTTAATAGAGTAGTGGCTATTTTTTGCGCAGCATTAAAAATACCGAATAAAAACTAAATACAATATTGTTAAAAAGTGATTACCCCACTCCATTTCTACCTAATTTAATGATGTGAGCCCAAGAAATTTATACTATCATTTTTAATTTTGTACATTTAATTTAATGGGAACTATTTTTTAAGGAAGCACAACCTGATATTCTTTTAAGGTAGAGTTTCACGAATTAGAAAGAGAAAGATTTTCATAACATCAAATGAATGAGTACTACAAAAATATCACAAATAGATTCAAAACCTTGAAAATTCAAGAAAATAGGAGGTATGGTCTAGCATTTTTATCCTGTCAGTTTTTTTATTTTTCAATAATCCAATTATACTGATAACTGGCCATTTTGAAAGGGACTGATTATTTAACTCTTTTTGCATGTGATACATGTGATCATCCAATACTTAAAATATCAAATCCTACCTACCATATAGTAACTCTAGTAATTTATCTGTATATATAAATGGGTCATATCTCTTCATTGTAGGACACAAACCACTCACTGAAAAATGGCAACCATGAAAATGCTCCTTACCTTATTGGTGGCTGCAATTTTATTTTGCAGCCACCAACAAGTTGCCACGGCAAGAGAAGTAGTCGTGGCCGATGACGGAAATGAGTTACAACTTTGGCCATGGAAAATTCCATGTTATCTGCCGTGGCCATTCCCGTGGCCACGGCCATGGCCATGTCCTAGCCCTCCTCCACCACCACCACCACGGCCATGCCCTCCACCACCTCCACCACCATGCCCA